TTATAGAGACGGGAAACAATTTAATAATATTCAAGATTTACATTCTGCGATATTAGTAGCCTGGTCAAGTATTACACCCGAAAATTTGTTTAAATATGTTAATGTAATGCAACAGCATATGATCGACGTTGTTAAAGAAAGAGATGATAAAATCAATAAATAAGTTTTTTTTTTTTAAATTACTTTTTTTTTAAAAAAACATCAAAACCATCATGTCCCTGAGAAAAGTTAAAGAAATTTAAATTACTTTTTGAATCAAAAAACAATAAATAACAGATATCATTATTTTAAGCGTGTGTTTGTACTTCGAAATTTAAGTTAAATGAGACGTTCCGTTTAATTGTAAGACTAATTATTTTTTATAAGCGTTTTGTAGTAGCTTGGATAAGAAAAATAATTTCATGCAGTAGTTTATTGTAACAAAATAAAACGAATGTAATATTTACAATTCTATAAAACGTGTTTTTGGGGGGAGTGTCTTAAGATTTTGACGCGCCTCTTAAGATAAAAAAATCCAAAAATCAGATTAGACATATATAAAATAAGATTTAATAAAAGATATTTTATTTCTCATGTCAATTACAACATTTAAACACCAATTATGATTCTAGAATTTTATCTTGTTTGATTTTGCACCGGAAAAAAAATTTTTTTTAGGTGTCTTAAGATTTTGACGCGCACTGTATATACTATACAGTTTGAATCAAAAAAAGAAATATTTTTTTACAGATAAAGATTTTTTTGATAAATGACTATTGTTTTGATTTATTAAGACAATTTTGCATTAAAACTTTTTTAAATTTTACAGCTTTTGATGCTAGACCTTTAATTATTTTCTTTTTTAAAAAAAAAAAATTATAATTTTTAACTAAAAATCTACAATTTTTACCGCCAAAAATATGTTTTTTTATATTTTATAAAATTAATCTTGTATGCAATGCAGTTGACTTTAAAAGACAAAATTGAAATTATTTTACTTTCCAACCAAAAAATGCCTCGGGTCAAAATCGAAAGAAAATTTAAGATTTCACAAAGTACAGTATCTAAAATTGTAAAAAATATGAAAAAAAAATCACAGTTGAACGATCTGGGGTGTAGCAGGAAAAAGTAGTTACAAGCTAATGATGTTACAGCTTTACTTAAAATTAATAAAAAAAACCCAAAACATCATTAAGAAAGCTATCTATTGATTTGTAAGCAAGATCAATCAGAGGGTTTCTTATTCAACTATAAAAAGACACTTAATGATTATAATTTTAGGCCCTTTTCTCCAATAAAAAAACCACTCCTTTTTAAAAAAACATTTTGTGCCGGCTTTAGAAAAGTAGATAATTTTTACTACTATTAGATAATGAGAAAAAGAAGATAGTTTTTTCAGATGAGAGCAAGTTCAACCTTTTTTGCTCTGATGGTAAAGATTCTGTGTGGCGTGAAGCCGATGCAGGCCTTAAAACATGTAATTTGTCTGCGTCTGTAAAGCATGGTGAAATGTCGGTAATGGTATGGGGATGTTTTTCATACTTTGATGTAGGAAAGCTTGTTTTTATTGAAGTTAAAATGAATTCTGAATACTGTGTGAATATTTTATCTAATAATTTACCTAACTCGGCTAGATTAATGGATCTGCAAGATTACATTTTTCAACAAGACAATGATCCCAAGCACACTAAAAAGCTGTATTCAAGTCAAAACAATTAAAACTTCTTTTCTTGGCCTGCACAATCTCTAGATTTAACTCCAATCGAGACACTTTGGGCTATTATAAAGCAAAAATAATCACAATATCGCCTTAAAAGTTTAAATAAATTGAAAGAAATAATAGTACGTTAATGGCAGCAAATTCCATTATAATTGTGTCAAAATAGGCTTTAAGCTTTTACAAAAGATCTTTAGCATATTTTAGAGCAAAATGAAATAATACTAAGTATTAAAATAAAAATATTCGCTTTTTTTGAAACAATTTTTTTTGAATTTATCATTTAATGTAAAACAAAAAAGAACCAAATACGCTGTAAAAACGTACATTAAAAAATATTAAAATCGAAAAAAATTCTTTTTTTACCATAACTTGGCTACATAAAGCTCCGAAAAATATTCCTTTTTTTGAAACATACTTTAAGTGTAAATGCCAAATTTTCCTTTTTAATGCTTCGATATAAAAACAGGAGGCTGTTATAAAAAGTATTTGAAATATCTTAGCGTAAAATAAAAATATATAAATAGATAAAATAAATATAGATTTGGAAAAGACTATTATAAATGCAATAAGATCGATATGTAAATATTATAAGCTAAGATTTTGTAAGCTTCATTATTATCAAGCAAGTAATAAAAGCTTTTTTGCTTTAGGAGTAAAGCAAATATATCTAAGTGGTTTAACATATAAAATGTATACCAAATGCATGATCAATTTGTTATTTTAAAATCGATTTTATTATTACTATTCTTATTTTGTTTCAAAATTTTACTTTAAAGAGTTACACACAAAAGAATTCATACTTTTAGGTTATTATGAAAGAAAATAATTTATTAAGAATTTTTTTCATATTTTAATATTATAACTGAAAACCTTTTAATATACCTCTTACAAATATCATGCAGAAGGATTAAATAATTTTTTTAGAACAAAGGTCGATAATTCGCATTCATCTCTTATCGATTTAAAGGCAAGTTAAGAATTTTTGATTATTACAAAGAACAAAAAGTACTAAAAGTAACTTAGTAGCAGTAATATTTATAAAAGGTGAAACAGCTAATTATGAGTACTTATAAAATGAAATAATGGAATTAAATTATACTAGTAATTTAATAAAATAAAAAAAAAATTTAAAATTAAACAAAATTGAACAATAAATTTTTAAAGATATTAGTGGTTAAATTTAATATTTTGGCAAAATTGTGACTTACTTAAAAAAAAAGAATAAAAGAATTTTATAAAAAGTATAAGTTGAACAGCAAATAATTTTATTTTACAATAATAAACTTCTATAGTATAGATTTTTGTTCCCAAAATGATTTCAGTTTATTAAAATTAAAGCTTCGATTAGAAATATTACCAATGTTATTTTTTTCTACCTCACAATTTTCAATTTCACATTTTAAATTCTCATATTTATCTAGAAGTCCTTTAAATCTACTCTTTACATTATCAATTACATTAGATTCATCATTTACAACATTTTTATTTGAATTACC